TCTGGGCTACAGAAAAGGATGTGACAACTATATCCAGACAATAGGGAGAGGTGTGGGCGTCCATCCCTTGGGACTGCAAGACCCTCAATATGCTGGACCTGATGTCCCTGAGGCTATCGCACAATTGCCGTACGCCGAGGTCGCCCAGCCTCAGCTGATAGAGCGCCAGCCACAGAGGTGACGTTGCATCCCTTGAGCCTCCCAAGGTTGAATCGAACGACCGGATGTAGGCCACTCGCTCGCCGTTGACACGATACGACATAGGTGTCAATGCAGCTGCCGGCGCATGGGGCGATTGAATCAGACCACCTCCAACAAGACTGCTGGCAATGACGCACCCGTCAGGTGCTGTCAGGGGTTGAGCCGGGTGCTTGGACCGTAGCGCGAACCTGTGAGCGCCCTCGTGCCGCCTGACGGTTTCCGACATGCTTGCCACATAGTCAAAGCTGCGGAAGGCATTGACGTGCAAGGTGACGGGAAATTCTCTTGAAAGCTCGAGGATGACGCCTATATCATCGTATTCGGTGGCAGAATTGCTGATGGACGCCGCAAAGATGATGGGACGAGTCCGGTTGGAAGTGACGGTGACCAGCTCTTGCTCGAGGTCTTGCAGCGAGTACGCCAGCGAGACTTGGTATGTTTCCAAGCCGAACAGGGTTTCAAAGAGGTGAATCAAGTCGAGGTCGAAATGGTCGTAAACCACTATCGGTCTTTGAGCTGGATGCGTCCGTCTTAGTTGCTGTTGTAGGGTTCGGATGCAGTAGCAATTTGCTTCGCTGTAGCTGCATACATATCCAGAGGGATTTGGGTCACCGATCCGCGCCCCCATCGACTGAAGGACTTGTTTCTCGAATGTCTTGAAGTGGAACGGCCAGCTCGAGTCCGTCTGATCCGGCATGTTGACTTGATTGTTGTGCCATGGCAGGCCAATGTTGGCAAGAACTCGCCCAGTGTCAAGCCAGAGTGGGCACGTAGAAGGGGCAAAGAGGGGAGATCGATTAGCCGACTTCCACTGATTGTACAGCTTGTCGGCTTCTGGTAGAACCTGGTGAATGTGATGATCAGGTTTTCGCCATTGGGTCATCACAGGATCGTATATCCATTGTGATCTGGAACCATGGAACGTTTTCTGAATAATCTTGTCGTTCGTGGACGGAGGGTGTGGATTGTTCATTCTTTCGGATCGGCTCGGAATATATCTCAGTGGTGGGGGGGGAGGCTTTTTGGGACATCTGTCAGGGCCATCAGACGTCTGACACCTAGTTTACATGTGGCGTTCGATTAGAGCAAAAGAGTGAACGAGATGTGCAGAGTTATTAGCATTATTGGGATAGAGTAACTGGCACCAAAACAATTCACCCACACAGTTGGGTATTGCCCCCCTACCCGAGGGACGGGATATTATTGCGAATTTTCCTCGATTGTGGGCTCCTGACATCACGAAATTTGCCAGTACCAAAACCTCGAGAAACCCCGCAAGGGTTCCTCTTTTTGTCCTGTTGGTCCCAAGCAGCTGCACATGAGACGAAACTCCCCCCAGGTGTGGGATAAGCAGGCGTATGAGAGAGGAAGGTTGATGGCAGCCAATGGCGGGCGGGTGGCCCCAATAGTGTGCAAAGGATCCATGGCCATGGATTCGATAGTCTAATGCAAGAAGTTTCCAAGACAGTTAACCAAGAACGGGATCCATAGCGGCCCGGTTGTAAGACCCGTTGAAGAACGATTTGGCCACTGAACAGAGGCGAGAATGTCTCCGCAACACGTCGAACCCAGTCAATTGGTTGCTTTCGTGCTTTAGCGGACAAACCGGTTCCCTGCAAAGCACCACTGGAGCCCTTGGGAAAGGGAGTGATGACCCAACTACCTTGCCGGCTAATCCAGAACAGGCTGCCCAAGACCCCTGTCCGACCCATTCCGAGGCAACCTCATGGCATGATGGATACTGGGATTACACGTAGACCCGGCCAAGTGGTTCAGACAGACGACTGGGGAGTGATGTACATGGCGCTAGAGAGCTGTGGGTGGTGTGTTGTTGGGCATGGGTCCCGTCGCATTCCTGCGGGTATCTCGGGCAAATGGTCCAGACCGCAACGCTGGGTTTGGATCTGGATGAGCTGGCTATAGCCAGGGTTGGCCGGAGACTCTTATTTGGAACCCGCAATTCTGAGGAGATTTCCCATACTCCCATATTCCCGTTCTCCTCCCACTCCTGGACACTCGCAGCCCCTCCTTTTCGTTCGAGAAGGTGCAGCAGCAACAAATCGACCAGAAACTTCCCAAAAAATCATGATTGGAATCAACTTACGCCACAGAGACCCCCCAGGGTTCCATATCAGAGATGCCACTCTCGACGATGTCGAGGCTCTGACACAGCTTTGGTACGACTCTTTCCACCGATCCCACAAATTCCTTCATTATGCCACGCCGGACGACGCGGAGACCCGTGAGTGGCTCAATGAAGTCTGGACCATGGGCATACAAGCAGGCCCTGAAGTCCTCAGGACATTCGTCGTCGAAGACTTGAACGAGGGCGGAAGACTGGCAGCATTCTGCCGCATCCACGTTCCTCAACTAGATGGGAACCAAGACATTCCCATGCCGGAACTGCCGGCCGGACATGACCTGGAGATCGCTGACGCCCTCTGGGGAGGGATGGCCAGAAACAGGGCTGCGATTATGGGCAAGCAGCTACACTGGAGTGAGTAAACGGACCCCTTAAAGTGATTCAGGATGAGGACATAGAATAACAGATTCCAGTGGGCGAATTTCTCGGCGTCGACGCACCCTACCAGAAACGAGGTCTCGCCACGCCCTTGTTAGACTGGATCTGCCAACAAGCGGATGCGACCGGACTCGAGATCTACATCGACGCAACGGCGGTTGGAATTCCTATATATGAAAAGCATTACGGGTTCAGGCCGATAAAACAGCTCAATATGCCAAAACGTCCAGGCAAATATGACGGCTATTCGGTGGTGGCCATGGTACGGCCGCCCCTGAGGCCGGTATTCCGCAGCCGGCTATGAAGTGATGCGTTTACTGTGTATGAACGACGGATGGAGCACACGAATTATGAAGTAATGTCTTAACGTATTTGCATCACGATATAGGAGGGGGATATCTCCCTGTTCGTTCTTTAATAATACTTTTTTTTGTTCACCTTGATGCCCCTGAGTGTGTGGTGATTATTTTGTAGACCGTCCGTCTCGATGTCACCAGGTAGTTGTGAATCCGCCACAGATGAGTGTGGAACACTCCACATCGGATCAAGTTATCCTGGGTCACGATATTGTCACAAAAACAAGGATTGTAGCAAGGCCCAGCAACGAAGAGTTGCACCCTGATGGGCCGGAAAAGGGGCCAAGTGGGAGAGGGGAGCTGTCGTACCCAAGAAGGGACTCCCAGATCTTGGATGTCGCCGTCGTTGATGCCTGGACGGCTCTTGGCCGACCCCTCACACTATTATTAGTTAGTGGCCAACCCACCACTCTGGGACCGACCCGCTCTGTATTTTGATGAGAGTCTAAGACAGTAGGTTCCAAACGACAAGACGGTGCCTGGCACTGGAGGATGACTGCTCACAATCAACGCCGAGATGTCTTGAGATCGTGCCGGATAGGTGATGGGCTGGCACTATTCCTATGAAAGCGTCTCGGAGCACGAGGAGTAGAACTGGATGTTTAACATTCGGTTGTCACACGTCAGCTAGATGGACCCCGCTGGTGCGGGTCTGCTCACCTGCCAAAAAACAGTCACTAGTGGGAGCCCATTTCCATGTGAGTGGGTTTATACGACTGGGAATAGCGGTGAGGTGAGGAGGGATTTATTACCCAACCAGAGGGACAAGTGGTCGGATCTCGCCTTGGCGACGTAATATGTGATACTTCCTTCACGGCCTTCACGGGAACGGGAGCGGCAGCTCGTAAAGCTGGAACATAATTCGGAAGCATCTTACTCATACTGCATGCTATGGAATATGATTAAAGAGGCACTATTTTAAAACCCCAGATGCTGGTAGTATTTAACTTTAATAACTGAAGTGAGGGGAGGGGGGTGCGAGAGCCGTTCACTGTTGGCCCCTTTTCGTCCAGACCCAAACTGATGTCAGTCACATGTCATCCCTTCCGTACACTAAAGAATAGCCTAAATAGAAACATCGAATCGTATTGGATGTAATTTGTGCATACACGCATCTAATCTTCAGACTAGATATCGCGAGTTGCTGAAGCTGCACTCAACATATCACTCACTCCCCAGATGCTACAGATCAGGAACACAAAATAATATAGATCATGACATCATTCATCTATGCTTATTGCTCCTTAAACTCTATGTAAAGTGGACATATCGCATGACGCAGTTAGAAACCTCCGATTGGGGCAGGTCGCATATCGGGGTTGCATTCGCCCCCAACGGATAGATGAACTCCACGTGTTAATATTGGATCTTGAAGTAGTTACAATTCATTATTAAAGACTAAAGAGTCATCATGCCGGGCAAAAGTTATTCTTGGCGTTAAATTTCAGATGCGGCGGGGTACAAACGCTGAACCTTGACGCGTTGACCATGTTAACCGTGTTACAATGCTGAATATAGCCTCAATTTGTTTCATTCTCCCCCCCGGATATTCTCACCCCCTTTTTTCAGCAGCTGCTACATAACCTGCATAGCTCTCACTTATTGTTACTTCCATATTTCAAGATTAATTAATTATCTAATGAGGCGTATAAAATTGTGTTTGTAAATTACCGTACACATGGTCAGGATGAGATGTAGGAGCAAATGCTCCTCATTTGTGAATGTTCGTGGAAGAGCAGTAGTGACACTCACGTCTTCTCAATATAGAAATAGTGCTGGATAGTCAGCATGACTAAAATCAAGGCTTCAAGATACGTACGTCCATAATCTAGGGGCTAGCACGTTCTTTGGAGAATGTTCAGTCATGTATTAAAGATGTTCCCTCCCGAAAACTAAAACAATTCCACTTCATACTGCGATGCCTAAAATCTCGAAATATCTCTGCCAGTAATCCAAGTAGCTGCCCAATACACAGGAATCAGTAGCCTATTCCTAATGCTAAAACTTTTAACCAAGTACGCGGCGCGCCAAAGAAGCCAAGCAGCTATCCCCTTGAGCTCCCCTTTGCTGTTTTGATGGATTGCTCTCGAGCCGCCTAAATATGCCATGGCCCCCAGATCCCGGAATTTGAAGGGTTTCATATCTGCCTTGGGGTTATTCAGGTAACGTCCAAGGTGAGCAGCTTGCTGATTGGCTACTTGTGCTGTGGCTGGAAGACGATGGTTCTCCATGACTGTACAGTCGCCGATAGCAAAGACATCGGGAAGGGCATAATCATTGTCTGTGCGCACACGGAAGTGGGAGTCAACCACTATCCCCCCAGTACCGGTATTCTTCAAGATGTTACCATGTCCCTCGATCTTCTGTTGAACTAACTTCTGGACAAGAGGATTCTGTCTCAATCCAGTGCTCCATAATACCACGCCGGCACCAACATCTTCGGTCTCCTGGTCGATCTTGAGAGATAAGAGCTCTCCAGACCGACGGATGGATTTCAATGAGTGTCCAGTCTTGACCTCGATTCCTTGTTGGCGAAGTCTGTCGACTGCATAATTCGTCAGGCTCTCGCCAAACATAGGGAGAACCTTGGAGGAGATGTCATATATTGTGATCTTGGCATAGGGCAGTAACTCGGGGTACATCTTCTTCAAATCTTTGCGAAGCAAGTCATTGAGCTCCCCTGCGAATTCGATACCTGTTGGCCCGCCACCGACAATGGCAAAATGGAGAAGCTTTCTCCTGTCGCATTCAGGGGTAGTTTGCATGGATGCTTTTTCGAAAGCCCGAAGGACTCTCTGCCGTAATTTACGGGCGTCGCCAACGTCTCTAAGGAAGCAAGCGTACTCTTCGACGCCTTCGATGCCGAATGTTTGACTGTGGCAGCCCACAGCTAGGACGAGTTGGTCATATTCGACCTCAAACGTTGTCCCGCTGCCGACGGGCTGGGAACCATTGCTCACAGCATCGTCTGGAGGGGCAGATTCAATCAAAACAGTCTTTCGCTTGAAGTCCACGCCGGAAGCCCAGCCTTGGTGGAAATTGTCAAGACTCAGTCGACGGACTGGTTCTATAGAGGCTCGGGGCTCGATGGTGCCAACGGAAGCGGAGGCAAGAAGGGGCGTGAATACGAAATGAGATCGAGGTGATATAAGGATTCGAGTGCTGTTGGCTGGGGAAAGAGTTCGAGCGAGTGTGTAACCCGCCCAACCTGACCCTATGATGACGACTCGTTTTTTCTTAGGCGGTTTGTCTGAATTTTTGGTTAGAGATTCCAAATATTCAAAAGCAGATGATGAGAAAACAAATGGAATTTGTATAGTTATGGAGAGTTGATCGTGGGCTTTGGGACATACCACTAGCTGTACTGGCCTGCCTGATACCTAAGATCAAGCTAGATCGCTTCTTTGCTGAGTGCATAGGACCTCCCAGAGCTCGACGAAAGCCCATTATCGTAGTAGTCTTCATTTTGTCTCAATCTATCAGCACCAATTCTTCTCCTCGAGAGCACACGGTCTTGTTGTTTTATATGTCTTTCAAACTCAGTATCATTCCTTTCGGCCGATCTCGGCGAATCGCGGTTCTTCATCATATGTGTTCACCATCACTCCAAGTCTCTAGCCTAATGATTTACTTGTGATTATTTAGTCATTTTCAGCTGCCGGCCTCGGAAGACTGGGGTAAGAGACATCATAAAGTGATGGCTGCAGGTTCATTTCCTCTGGTCAAGCCACTAGCGGGGGATAGTAATCTTGTTCCCCGGGAAAATATATTGCACATCCGGGCTAAAGGGTGTTTGTTCATGTAGATGAGGAGAGTGCAATGACACAACTCTGCTAGAGATGACCTAGCTGTAATGCTTATACGAATTCAGGATGGCGCACAATGCATCGATAACCCCTTGGAGGAACGCTGAACTGGAAGGGGCATGTCACTCCCGAATAGCTCCGACATCTAGCATGCCAACGGGAGAAGCCGCCCCGGTGAGATGAGAAAGAAGGCCTTATCTGCGTCACATGTAGTTTACCAGATTCAATTACCCCATTGAGGCAAGCTATTGGAGATCTCAGCTCGGGGGAACCTTCCTCGATCATCCTGTATAGACCCAAGTATGATTTGCGACTTCGGCCCCTTCTCTGGTAGAGAGCTCCTCCGCTTCTAGCCGCTCAGAGCTCCGCCCCCAGCTCAGCATGTCTGCTAAGTACCTAGTTTTTGCTAACGGTTCCGAAATCGGCCGTTCACAGGCCATGCGCCCATCCGTTTAACTCGAATTTGATGCCCCCCATGTGAATCTGGCCGGTTAGATATCTAGTCCAGGGAATGGCGTCTACCTGCAGAAGCTAGTGATGCGATAGCTAATGAGAAGGCGATCATTTCAAAGCTTATGATCCACCGAAGATGGTGATCCCTTTTTGGTATATAACTAACGCGAGAAGAAATCCGGAAGGCTAGAATTATCCAGTAATCTATCGCCTTGATTGTTTTCTTTGAAATAAAAAACCACTGCCTACGAATGCCCAAGGGGGAGGGGATGCATGCAATCTCAATGACCGCCACAAGTCAGCTTGGTTAATTTCCATATGGCTAGCAATTGAGTTTGTAAAAAATCGTTCCCTTTGCCCGTTGGTGGCATGTGAGATCCGGATAATCATGGCCCAGCTGATTGGAGGGAACAAGTCATGGCCAACTAGTTTCCATATTCCTGAGGATGTTTTCTGAATGAAGAACAATGACGAGCATGTTTTCAGTTGAGTTGGTCGAGTACATCCGCATTTGGATTGGAGCTCGATATGCCGAGGCATACAATTGAGGAAGTACATCCTCCTCGCTTGGCTGAGATTTGAGAAGCTGAGCAGCAACGGTGTCTGGCATGTGATCTGCGTCTGCAATTGCCGCTGTAACCTTGTGATAAGAAGGCCGTATGAAGACTTGTTGAAACCACCGAAACTAAACTTGTCTTGACTTTGATTGGACCTGGATGTAGTAGATGTTGAAAGAAATCGAGAATTAAATGTTTACTCAATTCCAAGATTCCTTCTAGCCATCCCATACGCGTATAAAGACGACAAGGCGAAAACGAATATTTTTGCTAGGACATGGCAAAGCCCACAGTTGCATGACATATGCCATGTTTTGTCCGAAAACGTCAAGACGCTGCGAACCCGGTCACATTGCCACGCAACCTTGAGGCTTGGCCGGGGTCTGGAAGATCGCTTACAGACGGATACTCCTGCATTTGATGCTGCATGTAGGGGCTGCGTTAGCAAGCTGATATTCGGACGCCTGGGAAAATCAGGGAATTAGCCCCTGAGTGGTGGTTGGGCCTATGCCGCCTCCGCCCCCTTTTCTCTCTTCACAAAGGAGGCTATCCTGCAAATGTGCGCCAAGATCTTTAGCGAAGAGGTCCTCCCAAAATGCCAGTTCACATCCACCCTCATCAGATATATCATCCGAAGAATGGGCCCCTTCCTTGCCCCATATACCCACGCCCCATGAAACCCCCCGAGCTCATCTCTTTTACGTCTCCCAAGTCGTCGGAACCGAAGTGGTGCCTAAAATTGACTTCAAGATTACCAACATCAACGTCACTTGGAATAGCCAGCCACCACCGTCTCTGCTGACAAGAGTGACCCTCTCGACGATGGTGTTTCGGCTGTTACATGACACTGCGACAGATTCCCCTTCGTCTGCGTCGTGATGCTCTCTGGCGGCAGCGAAAGGATTGGCGGTGAGACAGCATTCCGCCTCCCTGATGGCGAGATCCGCAAGATCCGTGGTCCTTCCGTCGGCACTGCCGTCGTCAGGCAGGGTCCTTACGTCGAGATATTTGATATTGCATAGTTGCACTGGCGGTCCAAATAACATAGATGATGTATCTACACTCAACGGGACAAATAAGAGAAGATAGACCATAGATTCCTTGAACGTGAAATTTGGTTTAGTGTGGGTGTTCCCAGTTATATCGCAATTTATTGATGAGCGGCCTACCATTTATTAGAGAAAGGTGAAGTGCCATTTGGGCCGGAATGAGAAAGGCTACTGCAAATCCCAGCATACGCTTTGGCTTGTCTTCCAGCTACATTATAGTACAATCAGGAAGTTCGGATTTGTGTTTGTTTGCCTCCCTCTGCAGTCTTTCCTCGACCGTTTCCGCACCCTTCCAGTACATTTGTGAAAAGAAATCAGTCTGAAGGCTTTCAAACACACTAGCCATCACACGCAAACACTCCTCATGTTTTCCTGTCAGAGCACCAAGGACTAGAGCCATTCGCTTGTCTTCGGAATACTTGGGGTTCTCAAACGACCTCTTGTACAAGGGATTTTGCTTCTCGCGTAGTTCTTCTTCCACGGACATGAAAAACAAGTAGACGAAGGTGGTCGGCCATAGGAAGCTCAGTCCCATGGCCGGGAAGTCTCCATTTATGGCTATGCCAATGTCCCACATGGACTGTTGCAGGCAATCCAACGTGGTCTCACCTCGTTTTCCCAATTGCCCAGACAGACCCTGCATCTCCGGTGCGGAAGCCACATATTCTTTCATTCGTTGGGCTTGGTGGGCTTGCTTGATATTTATAGAGGCATTCCGAATAGCCATTGAACAGGCAATTGCTACTACTCCATCGTCGCTCATGCCAGACTTCTTCACTCTGCGCACCAGTTCAGTTTCTTCCAGCTTCATCTCTCCGGTCACCGGATCTATCAGTCTCTTGACTCGGGAGAGCCGCTGGGCACCGAGAATGGACGGAATTACGATATCGCTGTCAGGAATTCTCTCTGGATCCCACCCCGCGTCTCTAAGAACTTGAGTACAGGGTTTGGTTTTGAAAAACACATTAGCCTTGGGATCGAGAACACCTATAATATCTTTGGCGCGTTTATTCCTGGTCCTGTTTTGAATACCTTTCCTTTGGGCGTGATCGATAAAGGCTTGGGCAAAGTTGGAAGTGGGTGGCGTTTTGTTATGAAACAGAGAATCGGGAAAAATTAGCGCAATAGAACCCCAGAGTGGAACCGGCTCCTTGAGAAAGCCTTTTTTCTCGAGCATGTTGTGAAGATGGATGACCATGAGGAGTTCCGGGGTCGAGTCCCAGATGTAAATGCCAATCAAATATGCCAACTCAAGCCCCTCCAAGAGCCCGGCACCACACATGAATGGCGAATACTCGTACAATCCATTGGCATTCGTGCTGGTGAATCGAGAAGGTGGAATACCTTTCAACCCATCCTTGTATTTCGTCTCACCGAGCCATTCGATGAAGTCCAGCCTGATCACTTCTAAGGGCGTAAGTATTACGTCGTAATGATTTGGATTGCCACGGCTTGCTGCATCGCGTTCTAGGAGTTTTCTGAGAACGAATCCGCCCTGTAGGAAACCGGCTCCGGTTTTTTCTTCCCGATCTAGGAAGAGGTCTACATCCCGTCGCGGAAAGAACTTTGGGCTCGGGGCAGTGATGATATGACCACAGAGAGAGTTGACCTGCCATCCACGAGACACAGTCATGGAATCCACGATACACTGAAGCTGGAAGACATGATGGGGTTGTATCTTGGATTTCATGTCTGCTGATGGTCTTTGGAAGGCCAGCGATGTAACAAAGCTGGCAAATTCATTGAGACCATACAGCCTGCGGTAATTATGCCATGGACCGCTGGGCGACCAGTCCACTGTGGCGAGGTTAATCGATTTTCCTTTGAGAGTGATCCGTTGAACAACGACGGAGGAAAACACGTTAACAAGGTCATACAGCCAGTTAATAGTGTAAGCACGCCGCCATTTGATCCTCTCCTCCGGTGTCGCCTTTTCAAGGTTGAAGTTGGGATCCCAATTCGCCAGCTCGGTCTGCATGCGTTTTGTCGGTTTCCCGTTGCGGTTCAAGCGGAAATCGGTAATGAAGTCGCAGAAATCCTTATAGACATAGATGAGGAATTGCTCCTCGATATCTATAAAGCTCTCATGGACCTCTTTCATCTTTTCGTTGCCATCCTCAGGTGCCAACAAAGAGACCGCGAGGTTGTTCTTGAGGTTTTCAGGGTTTCCCCTGGTAATTGTTTGCAGAATGGTGTCAAATGAATCGTTGCCCGGAAAATCTACAAAGATCTGTGTAGCCATTTTCCGAACGGCAGTAATGGCCATGTTCGAGACAGCCGCGGCCACGGCACTATTCAAGTCGTCGTATGCTACCTCACGCCAGAGGTTTTGCGTAAATGATCTGACGGAGATAATTTCTCGGAAAACATAATACACGGCAACCAGGTAGTCGGTAATGATTCCATATCCTTCCTCTTTGTCCTCATTGAAGTCCTCAATGATGCGGAAGCTCTCCAATGGCAAATGGTCCAAATCAGCTTCGCGAATTGTGGGTTTTGCACGCCCGGACTTCCTCTTGCTACGCCCTTTTTTCTTTCCTTTGCTCTTCTTGCCTCTTCCCGCCTTGGGACCTTGTTGGCTGCGGGGTGCGTTCTGTATCTCAAGCTCGGAATCGTCTGTATCGGATTCGCTCTCAACGGCTTGGCCAGTGGTTACTCCCAAGGCAGAGAACTTGTTTGAAAAAATAAACTCGTCCAGGTCAGCCTCTTCATTCGGATTGTCTGGCTGCGAGGATGTCAAGGCGGAGCCTCCTAGGACATTGAATGTTTCCATGAGGGCGTCAATGAAGTGCTTGTGGGAGGCATTGCTCCTTGCGAGTTCCGGGTCTGGGTCTTTTCCGGCCAACGTTTCGAAGAGCGCGTGGACTTGGGTGCGGGCGGCGATGATGGACTTGAGCAATCGCTGAATGATTGATGGGACAGGGATCGCATGAGCGGCGATCAGTTTGGACATGGCGACCAGACCGGAAACTGTGGTCTGCCCCGTTGAATTGAGGGCCAACAAGTCATGCTCGGGCGTCTCCAGGCCACGAAGGATATGGTTGGAGGCATGGATCATCCAGTAGACCAAGTACCTGGTGTCCTTCTTGTACGTCGCGTAAAGATTGCGATCTGCCATGGCTGCGAGTGATGAGCAGGCGTCTTTCTCGGTCACGGCTTTTGATTCCTTTGATGCTTTTGATGCTCGAGAGTGAGAAGCCGGCAAGTTTCAGTTGGTGAAGGCACAAACGTCACTGGCAGAAGGAAGAGCGTTGACTGGCCAAAATAGGTGGGTTCTTGAGACGTGACGGTACAGACAATGATCAGTGATGAATTTGAAAACAAGACCTTTATCAGAGAAAGCCGCAATGACCTCAACGAACGGTGACCTGTGGACGAAGGCGTTATCAGCTTTGTGGTTGTGCCACCCTGTTTCTGTTGGGGACAATCTTGGCCAGAAACCTTGATATAAATATATTCACAACTATAAGCGCCGGCAACCCTCTCCCAACAAACCCCGCGCATGAATGCAACCTGGTGATGTGACAGCTTTGCAGTGTTGCATGAGCCTATCGGTATGTACCAATCAGCTTGAACTTATGCCCAAGCTGCATCCAGCGCTTGCCAGTAACTCGAATGCATTGCGGCCTGAAGCGCCTATGTTCTTAGTAGGGACAATCGCATGATTTCGGTAGCGGCCACACCATTGCGTGATTGGTTTATGCATCACTTTAAGTCAGCTATGTGTGCCTTTCATTCATATAGCGTTTCATTGCTGAAGAGGGGAATAGTTCAAGTTTTATGCTACTGGGGAGGGAGTTTGGGCGTCGATTTTGGATTCAACTGTATGTATGGCCGTGAATCTCGACAGCTCTCCAATTTTCAAATAAATTATACAGCAACTTCAGCTATTTGTCCGTTTCAAATCCGAATTCCGTCAACTCCTCCTTTCATACCCAAGCTCCTCATTCTCTCTCACCAGCCTTTCAAAAGCATACACTATACAATATGCAGTCCTACAGACGACCTTCCCAAGCTCGACCATCATCCTAAGAGACCCATGGCGAACCCGCAGAGGCTTGAAGATGATCGCTCCTGATTCAACAAGACGCCCGATGCCACCCCACTCCAATCAGGCACAACCACTGTGTTGACTTGTTCCACCTCACTGCAACTACATCCGACTTTTGGCTCAGACAGAATCTCAGTCCGGATATCGTGGTTCATAGTAATGCTTCAACCCTGTTGCAACCCCTCGGTGGAAGCCAAGAGTTACCTGTCAAGCAATATCCCTACAATTCTCCTCGGTAAGTGCCATCTCCGTGGATTCGTTTAGCTGGGTCCCCTTGAAGTTGTGCCTGTCCGACCACGGTACACTGCTTGAAGGTCTCCGCATCAAAAGGACAACAACGCAGTACAACCAGAGATTCTGGTCCTTATTAACTGGAAGTATGCATCGTCGCTTCGCTTACTCTGAATACTGTATTTCGTATTCCAGACGAAGGCGGTCATATAAAGCGCTTCAGCGGTATTGTGAAGCATGACGTCATAGCCTTCAACAATGACCAAAGCAAATGAAGAATAGGTACCCGAGGTTAGGATTGCCGATTACAAGCGAGTTTACGCAGTGCAAGTGCAAACCTTTGAGTTGGCTAGATGTGTTGACGAACGTCAACCACCCCAAACCAGGTGGTCAAACTGATCAATATTGGAATAGCTGCAAATGTTGGTCCCAACTCATGATTGATATACCGATGATGACCGAGATTCTGTCAAAGAAATCGTAGCCGAGGAACCCCAGCACCGCTTATCTTCGGTCAAAGCTCCCTCTACTAAGCCACACTAGCACATATTTTGGTTTAGTGAATGTACAAAAATAACTAGGGAGTACAAGTTAAGTAAGCACACGATAAGAGAAACTTTTATCTTCACACCGGAATTTTGTCGTGCCCTGTCTCGGTTCTCGTCCGCTTCCCGAGGTCTTGCATATGTACGATCGATCGGGCAAAGTTCGCCCGATTTGGGACCCAATAAGATTCTCCCGAGTTCTGATTATATCCCCTGAACTTCTTACCTTCTGCTAAACTCACCATCCATCATGTCAGCGATTGTAGGGAGGAGGGCTTTGCTCACAGGGTCAAACCCCGCCGCCCGGTCGTCCTTTGCGGCGACCATCCCGCGTTGTTCCTGTAGGAGCGCCAGAGAATTCCACATGACATCGAAGAGGACAGGAACACGCAATGCATGGATGCCGATGCGCGTCAAGACGCCGTGGATTGAGGCACTGACTCAGAGTCAAGAGACCTCACGCAAGCTGGAATATGGGTTGCAGACTATCCAGCCTGTCAAGCCAGACCTCACGCCAAAGAAGATGTCGGATAGTTATTACAGCGCTGTAAGCAGATCTAAGGCTACATTTCGATTTTTGGGCTGTTTCTTACGGTTGTAGATCCTGCCCTTGGCACAGGACAAATGGCTTCTAGACACCTACCTCAACTCCTCTGGGCACATTCGGTAAGCATTCATAACCGGGCTAATACGCTGCCCATGCGATTCTCAAGTGATGCAATTACTAATAGAGAATCCAGGCTTGGCTCTTTGGTAATGGACCTTGACGCATTGGCCGGCATAATCGCAGCACGACACACTGGTGATGGCGTGAGCAATGTCACTGCAGCCGTGGATCGAATCAGCATCCAACACCCGTTGATGGAGATCTGTGATCTTGAACTTAGTGGTCAAGTCACATATGCTACTGGTCGATCTAGCATAGAAGTTTCTGTTCAAGTTTCCAAGGCACGCCCGGAAGGTGAGGATGCCAGACCCGAGGATGTGATGATTACTTGTGCCTTCACATTTGTGTCGCTGGACCCGGCGACCAAGCTGTATGTTGCCCACCGTGCCATCTGAGATAAAACACCGAAGTTTTACATGCTAATATCTGCTTTAGACCTGTCCCTGTGGCGCCCTTGATCGTCGAGACTCCGGAAGAGAAGTCCCTCTTCGAAAAAGGCGAGCAAAACTACAATGCCAAAAAGGCGTTGCGGAAGCGGAGTCTTCTGGAAACGTCACCCGATGATGAGGAATCTGCATTGATTCATTCCATGTGGAAGAAGGAGACGAAATATCGCAGTATGTTGGCCGCCGTGCCTTGAATTTCAATAGATGCCCTCAATTACTGACTTCGTGCTTCAGATCCGCGATATCCTAATATCCAACCCGAAGACCAAATATACATGAGCGATACTGTTCTTAAATCCGCAATGATCATGCAACCTCAGGATCGCAACAGACACAACTTTATGATCTTTGGTGGTTTCCTACTTAAGCAGACTTTCGAGCTTGCCTTTTGCTGTGCTGCCTCCGTCTCTCATAGCCGGCCCAACTTTCTCGCCCTGGACCCGAGCACCTTTGAGAACCCAGTGCCGGTTGGTAGCGTCCTGTACCTCCGTGCCTCGGTAGCATACACCGAACCTGAGGCCCGGGAGGGCGACGCAAGCAAATTCACAAAGGTCCACGTTCGTGTCGACTCCAAGGTTCGAGACGTGGAGCACGGCACCAAGAAGGCGACGGGCATGTTCAACTATACCTTCCTTGTGGAGAAGCAACTCCAAGTCATCCCGAAATCCTATGAAGAGTTCATGATCTGGACTGATGCACGTCGCCGAGCCAAAAACGCCCTCAACATCGACCCCTCGCACGGGACGAGCGCATTGCGTAGTATTAAGGATAGTGTCACGGAGTAGTGGTCCAACTTTGCATACTGGGTTCTGTAATAGATTTAATCACGTTTCATAGACGTCTAGAAAAGTATATCTCAAGTTTCTTATAGAATGGGAGAAAGATTCGTCCTCGATGGTTTTGCTCAGAGCAACCACCTTCTCAATTCTCAAAAGACACGAAAGAAGTTTTGCACAAGCTTACAAATGAAAATGTATCCTCGCCTATTCTAGTACGTAATATCTAGGAAGGTATGAGAGATGAAACAATAAACCGGACTCATAGGTGAGGACATTTATATACGCCATCGAAGCTAAACCAAGAACTGCGATTACAAAAAGACAAGCATGCCGCCAACCAAAAGATTCACGTCTCTTATAGCAGCCATGCAAAGGCGAAGATCGCTGCCGCCACGCGGACAGAGCCTCCGACTCTCGACGTACTGCAAAACCCTCCGTTATTCTCAATTGGCTCATCCCGTGGCAGCTTGGACCAATCGCCATTTCTCCAAACATCAGCGTACGAAATTCCAGGGGAGGCATAGAGGGGTTTGTTAGGCTTAGAGCCGGGTCCTTCTACAGAACCAGGGACACAAGCTGATGTATATCCTCCAGCAACCGCGGCGGCTGCTTTCCAGAGATGCGTGACATCTCGAACCATATCCATCGTGTAGAATAGCCTACAATTCGAGGCCTCGTATAGAAACTGATATGGAATCTGAGGGTCGGATCTAGGGATACAGTTCAGGGTATTGATGCCTGCGCTGACATCTCTCCAAGGAGAGCCCCCGGGTAACGGGAGGGACTCGATTTCTTCACGTGTAACGCCTAGGTTGGAGCGTACGGCCTCAGCACTTCGGTTCTTAGTGTCGGATAGGACCAGCTTAATCATAAGAGATATTTTCGCAATGGCGGTGGACTGCCTCACTTGGCAACCTCTCGTGCCCGCCACACCTTGCATTGGTCCGTTCACAGGCATCCCGCCAACTGAAACACTCTTGACGCCGGCAATATTCTTCATCAAATTGGAAAAGATAAAGCAGGCACTACCGCAATGTCCATCGTGTAGAAGAATGATATCTTTGGGGTCGAAAGCTTGTTCGTAATCCCTGTGGTTATCTTCATATCCGGTCATATTGAATTTGAGCTGTCCTATTATTCGGCTTGAGTTGAAATCGTATCTCCAGGGGTTGGTGTAGTTGTCTCCATTGACAGTAACAGGCCCAAATAATTCTTCCCAAGACTTCCAAGGTTTGGATTCCCTGGATAGCGTGCCGTACATGCCCAGGTCTCCAGCCCCGAGCTGTTGCGCCATTGTACGGTTGAGAGGGCCCGTCAAGGACTCGGCAGAGCCCATTGCGATTTGGGACAACACAGAACCGATAGTGTTTAGGTTTTTGCTGGCTCGTGAGTTTGCCAAAGAAAATGGGTCCATTTTCGGAAAGAACTGGCGAAACGTGTCGTAAGCGAGAAAGAGGAAGCTTCCACGGTTTCCTGAGAGGTCGATGACTATCTTCTTCGCTCCAGCCTCGCGAGACTTGGCAATGAACTCAGCGACGGCCGTATGAAGTTCTTCTGGGGACTCCTTGTAAGTCCCAGCCAGGAAGCTTGGGATGCTCAGTACACCGGTAGAATTGTCAGACAAGAGATATCCCGAGACGGTTCCGCCCCTTGAAAAGTTGCTCTGAACCACGATAGGGTCATCCGGGTAGCTTGGATATGGTACGGAGCTCACTGGATCGAATGCTGTTGTTTTCTTCGAGAACAGCTTGCGCATCTCTTCGTTTTCTCTAGTCTCCCGAATTCTAGATTTCTTATCAGAAGAGATCCAATTATCGTAGATTGACTTCCCGCTGGAGACTTTTGTCAGGTTATAAATAGCTTTGGAGCCAGCCATGTATTTCCACTCAAATCCAGTTCCATTCGCAAACTTTCCTTTGATGGAATTGCCGTTATACGATGATGTGCTTCGAAACTCGGACTGATAGACGGAGCTGCCGTTGCGGCTACCCCAGGTACCAAACTCAACAGCCGGATTGTACATCAGGGCGTTCCACTCCGCATGGGGCTCAAGCAGCCCGATGGAAGATTTGGTTTGCGCGTATCTCGAGAGATAAGAGAAAACAGGCTCCTCCTCAAGTTCGACGATCGGTGAAGCTGACGGGACATCTCTTCTGATATCACTGTAGACGTAGACTTGAGGCAACTCTTTCCCATCTCTGGAGACGGATACAATATCATCGGGGAGATGCCATCGGAACTTGAACATGCCCCCATTTCGGAGACGGAAATGCTGATCATGCACTTGATAACCCATAAGAGATAGATCTGACTCATATTCATAGAAATTTGCGTATTGGTTTTGCTTCGCCTTCTCAGCTAGGCTATCCAAGTATGCTATGACATCGAGGGGTGGCTGTTGGTAAGACGCTGGCGGATTTTTCAGGAAGCCCAGCGTAGAGTACATGGAAAGCATCTTCTTGAACCGGCCGATAACCGAAACAACATGATCATTGCGGATCGGGATGGAGGTTGCACATTGGTAAGCAGTCTCAGCGTCCACAAGCACCTCGGCCGGGTAGTTGTATGGGTTCTCCAGGGTTGTTTTTGACCGACCTTCCAGTAGCATCTCGGCAAACCGCTGACAAGGCTCGATATCTTTCGCTATGACAGCCGGCCAGATGAGCGCCAAGACCGTGACCGAGAAGAAGGATCGCATGGTCACAGGTGCTAGCACTGGCCACATGGCCAAGCGACACGGGACGACAGGATATACGGAAAGGCTGGGATTAATATGAAGCACCCGTGTGATATTTTACTCCTTGGGAAAAAAATCAAACAAGACGCACTGGCCAGGGCATACATATGATTTGCCCTAGGCAAAACTTTTGATACTTTTGGTGGCTGGAAATAAGATTTGGGAGGCAAATGTCAAACGATGAGAATTTTACTTTTTTCTTTCCCTCGGTTTCTTAGAGCCATTGAAAGCTTCGTATCGGTCTAAGTGGAAGCATTGGTTGGACGAAGGTTTGTGTTGAGAAGGCTTATCACAGTAAATCTTATGATAACATTGGGCTCTGCTATTATTAGACATCCGAAACCGAAATCAGGCAAAGTTTTGTATCTTGCAAATTGTTCTTATTTGAGAGCATCTAAATGCAAAGCGATGGGCGAAGAATTCTGAATACATGTTCTTTGACGATAACAAAAACATATGGAAAACCTGGAAAGCTTATGACCGAACTATAGAAACGAATGGTTTACGCAGGCCGAATATCTACCCGAAAGGTGTATGTCCCCATCGCAATAGCGAATCCAACGACAGTATTGTCTTGATGATAACATTTATCCATGATCCGACCGGCTGAAACAGCAACATTTCCGCTACTATATATTAGCCAGTGAGCCAGTAGTAGGCGTCAGGGATGGGACATACCAAGAAGTTACAGTATCTTCACTCTTTCCGATAACCTGGCTCGTGATAACCGTGCTACCCTTCCTGCACAGGACGGCCTCCTGCTTTGTGGCTCTGCATGGCTCTTGTCCGCGGCTGGCGAGCTCCTCAATGCACAGCTTGGCATCTGGCCCCTATGGATTGTTAGTATGATGCTGCTTTTAAGCTTGGGAAATGACGCTGGGCTGATTTTTACCCATGATGGTGTAAATTGTTCTCTCACTTGGCAGTGTACATAGATCTGCTCATAGGCCTCCCCTAAAATAGTAAGCATTAGGCCTGTTCTTGCGTTTGAAATCATGCAAAACGCCAGTAGGGGGTGACTATCTCACTCTTTACAGCCCACGTTGGACTTCCCGTCGGAGGGGAGATGGAATCATCGAGGCCACTAGCGGTTTCGGTAAACCGTTTGCTAGGGGTAAGTTCCTGTTTATCTTGGGGCTGCGAAAATGCTGTCGATGGAATCGATATAGCGAAGGAGGTCGATGCAAGGCAACCGAATATTAAAATAATCAGGGATATCATGTCTGAGATAGGGTGTTTGGATTTAGGTAGTGGCGCGGTGGTTTTGTTGTGTGTGTGATAAGAGGTTCAATAAAATTTGATGAAAAGGAAATATTACAAGGTTTGGAAATTGGATGATGACCGTGGTAGTTTTCCATCAGCTTTTCATATATTCCGGAAACAAAGCGTTCTCGTTTGGGGTAGATGCAAAGAGAATCCGGAGAAAGGGAATGTTATTTATAGCTAATCGCTAGTATCACGCATAGACATCTATGGTCACATGAGCGGCAAAGAATGATATTTTGATCCAAGATCGTCTTGAATGATTTTTCCCGCTCCTCCCATTAATTGTCTTTTATCGCAATGGTGATGAGGTTTGTGACTGATGCGGCACGATAGCTCGCTGGAAAGTGGTTCCATGATACAATCTAAATAACCCCCTAGACGAACAATTTCGTACCATCAGTGCAATTGCAGCCATTTAACATTGACATATATCGAACGGAAGCATAAAAGGCCGCTGCCTGGGATTGTTCGACGGAACAGACACCTGGTGCAGGGTAAGCAGGCGATATTTGCACTATTATTTTGACTTTGAGACAATGGTGTAATCGAATGAATATTTTGTTGTATGAAATTCCCTAACAGATCTTCTGTAAACCTAAAACCCAAAGAATTCCGCATAAGTTATCCTAGCGACCTGCTTTCATTACATCATCTTATTCCTCAACCCTGCACAGGCGGATGCATCTACAGATACTTGAAAATAGAGTCAAAGTCTAGATTTGTCGAAAGACCTGCCTCAGGCCCGAAAAGAATTTCCGCCGAAGAGTGAGGCTCATCTCTTCTCAACGATGAAGGATCGCTGCCAGAATTATTTGGATCGATTGTATTCAAGAAGGTACTTGTATCGTCATTCATGGCTGTGCCTGCAGTAGCTAGGAGAGACATGGAATTGTGAGAACCCTCTGCAGTTGGCAATTGAGCTTCAAATGAGACATCCGATGTTTGGTTATAGCCAAAAATCTGCATTGAAAATGGGTTGGCTTGGAGGATTTCTTCCTGGGTGTTGGAAAGTGTCATAGACGCAGGGGTGTTGGGTATTTCACCAAGTCGCAATGCTTTCACATGTTGCTCAAACCCGATGCGAAGCTGGTCGACTATGGCCAATACCATGGGAGAGACATCTCCTGGGGTGGTGAATGCAGACTGGTCCTTGATTGCGGTTTGAACAAGAGAGGCCTTCTCTGATTGCCAGAAGTTCCAGAGCAGTGCGTTGCTTTCCAGCAGGATGGGGCCAAGGTAAGGCTTCAAAGGTCTTTCTTGCTTGCCGAATAGAATGTCACAGAGATTTGAATACATGTCTGTGGGTGACATCCCACGGGGGGCACGGCCTCTCAGTTTCTCTGAAATGCTCTGCCGAGTAGCAGAGGAAGCCATTGAGGAGCAACGAGACAAGTTGACATGCTCATCACGGTCGATAGATGAGCCAAAGGTCAGATTGCAGGTAAGGCACTGTACGATGTCATTGAGGTGGCGCCGGTGGATATGCTGTTTGACGTCGCCAATCCGCTTCAACTTGCGGCTGAGACAAGCCATATGCCGAACAGGGTCTTTCTTCAAGAAGGGGCAAGCAAATGCCTCGGTTGCCTCCACGTCGTCTGATGGAATATCATTAGATATTCCGCTTTCGGTTCGAGCTGAAGGACGGTTTCGCTTAGGCACGGGCCCCACCTGCGAGGGTGTGGAGGGCATTGGCACACCTCGCTTTGACATGGTGGATAAACAGGTTCATATATTTGAAGAGAGTGTAAAGAGGGTCTTAAAACGAAAAAAAGAAAAGGGGAGAAAACAGGATATGACGTGTGAACCAGCGAAGAATAGAGAAAGGTAATGTAGAAAGCCTATGGCCAAGTTGAATGCAGACGAGCCACCAGAGAATTAACACTGGACCAATTTTTTTTCTTGATTGAGACGTTGCTTAATTGCTGCCGAGTTGCCCTAGACTGTCGAGGACGGAACACTTTTCAGCGGGCGATTCTTATTATACCTCCCTTGGCACCTCAGTGAAGGTAAAATAGCGACAGGCATCAGTGTCCAAAATGTAGCTACTGACACTCCAAAATGTAGCTACTGTCGGAATCAAGTGGGTCCTCGGCTGCAGCTGCATGTCAGACTCACCAACACTAATAACACACGTGTGTGTTGTCCCGATGATCAGCTCGCGTCTACCGGTTGCCATACGCACGCCCTGAATCATGCCATAACTGGAGCAGAGTCGGAAGGGCAGCCAAGAAAGAAGCCACCAAGATTTTGCAGAGCCTCGCTTCCAACACTTGTGTGGCGCTGCAAAACCCTCACAAGTTAAGATGCTGCTTGGTCTTAATTTTTAGGCGCTTGACCGTGCTGCGAATTTTACACCGATCTTGTGCTCGGTCGCTGATATTTGGGTGGATTGGTGTCATTCTCATCTGTGCCTTATGGAAGCTAATTGAGTGTAGGGAGCCGAGCTCAACATAAGCATGATTGTCTTGTGAAAATTCCCAATATGCGAATGTCAGGACCTGGGCCAGAAAGCGTGCGCAATTTGTAACCTCATGTTGGAGGCAGAAAGTAAAAGAGATATCTTGCAATAGTGGAAACTCAAGTCCTCAAAGCTCCTACGACTAGAGATGTGATAATGCATTGACAAGCTATTTCTAATAGAAGAGTTCATCGACCTGTTCACCGCAAGTAGTTTTGCAACTGAATTAGGGCGTTGAAATAAGCAAGTTAAGAGCCCGGTCATAGCAGAGCAGCTCACTTATAAAGTATAAGAGCTTTATCAAGGGTCATTTAACCAGGTTGAATGCTTACAGACGGGCTTAGCATGATTTCCTTTCTATTAGTTGAGCTACTGACAAGAGAAAGAAACAGCTAGGAAAGCGGTGCAGGCTCGAGATGTCCTGGTAGTGGTCTCGCTTTGGAAGGAACTAATCCAGGCGCCCCGTGGGCTAGCCACTCCCACCAGAGAGCTGTAGCCATGTTCAAACCCAAGCCAAAGACATTATGGAATAACGGTAGAGGAGCGCTCTCAATTACTGCCACATAGATGCTCTATATGTTACGTCTCTATCAACCAATCTTCTGCAAAGTAGTAGAATCGTACAGGCGTGGGAAAATGATGTAATCCCGGTGGCTGCATATCGAGAGTGATATCCATGTCTGGACCAGGAAGCTGTCTACTGAACCTCTCATGTTTCATGCTAGCCCACAACAAATGGTTGAATAATCAACGCCTATATAGTAAGCAGCTTTACATCATCTACCTTGTGGTGCTGGTAATATTTCTACGAAGGCGATGAGGATCTGCAAGTCGGGGAGATATTAGGGAGCGTACGACTCTCCCGCGGATGCAGATAGATAACTGTCCTTGTTCGCTACTTTGAACATCCTAGAGGTTTCAGAGCTGCCATATTAGCGAGGAGATCCACCAAATAGTTACAAAACCCCGGAACGACAGATAAATTCTCCCTCTATCATTAGATTTCGATTCCACTATCTCCCGACACTGACAACTACCCGAGGGCTGCCCAAGCCTCCGCGATTTCAGCACCAGCTGCCCTCGACAACAAAGTGATTTCAATTGTATGGATATCAGGACTCTAGAATAATGCAATTTGTCTGCTTGCCCGCGATCACTGCAGACCCTCATCAGTTCATTGTTCATCCCCATCCAATCGTCGCTTTGCCAAGGCTCCACAGCGGCACCTTCAGCCGTGGATTCTGGCTGCCTGGTTCATGTTATCTATTCGCCCTTGCATCAGGCACCACCTTCTGGACTCACTCAGCTGCAGGCAACGAAATTCGGCCATCGTGGATTGCCGATAAATAGCGGCGCAAACCCCTGAGATTCCCGAGAGCAGCTCACGCTCGAAATACCGGAACCAACATGTCTTCCAAGCCAAAGTCCATGAGCGTGTACGCTCGATGGCGGCCGTTGCCTCACTCCGATGCCGGAGACAGCGAGATATCTCATCGCGCATCTTCCATTACTCCCGAGTCGCTTCTCTCAGTATCAGTCACAAGCTCTACCTCGACTTCCACAGACGGCGGGTGGAGGAGCTCCCCAGCCTTCACCGCCGTTCTTGGTCCCGGTGATGACAATGCCAAAGCATACGAGACCATTGTCGCACCGGCCATCCCCAATGTCCTGCAAGGGGGCAGTTGCAGCTTCTTCGCCTACGGTCACTCTGGAAGCGGGAAAACACACACGATTGTCGGGTATGACTACGAGGACAGCAAGCGGCTTGGCCTGTGTCTTGCAGCCGCGAAGCGATTGTTCGACGCCCTTGAGCCCCTGAACCGTCAGCTACCGATTGAGAAGCAGCTGGGCCTTGGGTTCAGTCTGTTTGAACTCAGGAAGAATACAGCTTTCGATCTTCTGAATGGGCGCGCCGAGTGTCATATCCGAGAGGGCTACGATGGCAAGACACATATTCGCGGCGAGACGGAGAAGCTCGAGGGGGGTAAGGTCCGAGTTCGGCCTATTGAGAAGCGCGCCTGCTGGGATTTCGACAACTTACGCCGCGAGCTGATCCAGGCAATGGGAAAGCGTGTGGTCGGTTCGTCCAGCGTCCATGACCTAAGCTCTCGCACTCACGCCGTCTTGGAGCTGGAGATTATCAACCAGGAGCTGGTGGACGCAAGAGAGGTCGTTGTCCAGCGACAGTCGGAGCTTGTTCCTGTAGGGAAGCGGGCCGATGATATCTTGATCGAAGAGCAAATGAAGGCAGTCATCAAGACACCCGATGGGAGTTGGAAGCCCAACCCGGATTATCAGGTAGACCAAGAGCGCATTGATAAAGCTCTGGCCGAGAAGGCTGAGTGTGAAGCACGTATTGCAGATGCGGAGAAGTGCGTGGATTCTGCGCTCGACTCGTCCTCGTCTCCATGTCTGGGCGCCAAAATTGTCTTTGTAGATCTCGCAGGCGCCGAGTACCATACCGAGAAGAGTTCCAAGATGCCGACGCTGAAACAGACACCCAAAGAGCGCCAAGAGGGTCGCCAGATCAACACGGATTTACTGGCATTGAAGGAGGTCATGAGGGCCTGGTCAACCAGCCAGACGCGGATCCCTTTTAGGTCATCGCCGTTGACCATGGTGCTACGTGAGCATTTTGTCCGGTCGGCTGAGAAAGGAAGCTCGTCGATGATTGTGACCGTGTCACCAGAGAGGGGGCAATATGCTGCGACATTGAACTCCTTGAAATACGGGAGCCTGGTGGGAGCGGTCAAGGCATGAGATTTATTAATCCAACTGTAGGATTATTTAGAGGGTAATTACAATGGATATTGTCGCCTAAATTTTAGAATGTCGGTCTGGTTCTCGGCATACCCCTTATTAGCTACGAGAAGATACTGAACAAACGCGCTTACTACCATGCTTTCGTTTCATTATTCCTGCTCAATAGTGCGTGGATTGACCTCTTTTCTGATCTTATGCGCCTTTGCGGCTGGGCTGAGCCGTGTTTCAGTTAAGTTGAGAGTAATGTAGCCGAAACATGCCGCCTATTCCAGTCATTTACGCCACAGCGCATGATTAAACAAGCCAACAGTGGCTATGGGGCATCTTCAGGAGGCTATTGGATCACATTGGGCGAGAATGGCGCTGGTGCTGACACTACAGTCAACGTGATCCATCCCCTGGAGGATCGACAGCCAGTCGTCAACATGCATGAGATGTGCGCCAAGTGTTTACTAGAACGAGAAGCAAAACCATTCCCCAGATTCCTACTACGTTGCTACGCTACGTTGCCTGCCTAGGTTTGAGCATGAGACCTAGGGCGCATATAACTGTGCCACTAAAAGAGTACAGATGAGAAAAAGCCGGCGGTATTGGTCGGTAATGGCCCGTGTCTATGTGACGTGTGCTTGGCTTTTCGTGTGGCTGCCTCCTATGGCTTAACGGTCTATGAGGATGGAGGAGAATGTTTTGTGATGAAACCGGCAAAGGGGTATATGAACAATGACCTTGCAATGCGATTGTTAAGGAAGCTCAATTTGATAAATTAGACAAGCTTTCGCTTCGTGCCCTTCGGCTTTGTGTCCCCAAGTCTCTCTGCCCACCCATCCATTCACTCACTTCATTACTCATTTCACCATGTATCTATCACTCTTTCTTGCAGTTCTCCCATTGGCGATGGCAGTGCCAGCCAGGCGAGAACCAGCGCCACTCCTTCGACCTCGCACCGACGATAAAAACCTGCTGGCGGGAAAATATATTGTCAAATTCAAGGATGGTAAAGACGGGGACAAGATGTCCGTATCCGCGCTCAATAATAAAATCAGCACCTTGAATGTGACCCCAGACCATGTCTACAAGACCACCTTTCAAGGGTTTTCCGGCCAGCTTACTGATGAGGAGCTCGAAGCTCTTCGCCATAGTAACGATGTGAGGATGCACCATCTAAGGATGTCTCGTCTCGGAAGTGATTGCTGACCTACAGCGCAAGGTCGAATATGTTGAGCAGGACTCTTCACTTTCGGCATATGCATTTGTCGAGCAGGCCTCGCCGCCATGGGGACTGGGCCGTATCTCTACCCACGACCGCAAGACTGGAGTTCCATATACCTATGATTCCAGCGCAGGAGCCGGAACATGTGCTTATGTTATTGACACCGGAATCGACGTCACCCACCCCGTGAGTTTCTTTAAATCCGTTGTTAGATTGTGACGCGCTAATCTTCCTTTGTGCGGCAGGACTTCGAAGGACGGGCGGAGATGGTCGCTAATT